ATTATATAATATTTCATTTTGCCGATATCTTCTCCCCTTCTAGGTGCACTTGTGGGCGACACTGCAACTTATGCGGAAAAATCGCAGCCTTACCTCACTAATTTGGTTCCGCAGGAAAATGCAGTAGACCCCTTTCTAGACGATCTCGTTGCTCAGTCAATAGAAATACAAGATTGTCCACCTGGCGATGAAGTTATAGGGAACAACGAGAATACCAATAGAGGAAATAAATTTCAGAGAGGGAACACAGGTGGACTTCGGCTGAGAAATTTGCATCGCGCAGAAGGTGGAGAAGAAGAGCATGATAACGTAAAGCCTAAGTCAGTAGATGAGATAAGAGCTCTTTTGAATGAACAGTGAGAGGCATTTGAGAGAAAGTTGGGTAAGTTAAGAGATGAAATGAACGTGACATTTGCTAGTAACCAAAATAAATTGGGAGGTCATGTCCTCGATTTGAGGAAGCATGTGACTGATTAGATAAATTTGAACCAACGTTTATTTCATGAAGCTACTACAGAAATTGGGGTACACAATATTGCTTACGAGTATGGTGATTTTGGTCATGATGACTTTGATGGAGATGTGGCCCGACGTAATGTTAACGAGCACATTTCGACTCCTAATATATCAGCGGACAAACAGCAGCCCATAGAGGCAACCGAAGCAGTAGTTGGCAACATCGATGATGTGTCCAGATCGTCTGTGGATGGGGTTAGAGTACAAGGTCAGTTGTCGCTTGTGATAGTGTGAAAGAGGCACGAAACATCGTACTCATGTCTCAACTGATAAGACTACCATTTCTAATGGCATTTATAGCTGAACCGTCAAAGATTGCTGATCCACCTGCACCCAGACATCTATCATTGAGGCTCAAGATGCCTAGTGCAAACAGGAAGACACTGTTCACTTGATCCGATCGCAAGAGAGGTAAGCGGACTGTGTAGTATGTTTACAATATCTGGTCCAGTATTTTGGTTGATGGAACATAATGGTGATTGTATAAGTGGTATGTCCTTGAAGATCGAGTATTTCACAGATGACATGATTTCGTCGCCCATCTATTTTTGAGAGGCTGACCGG